AACACTTGGAAGAATTTGCTAAGTCTTTGAAAAACAAAGAAAAGTTGATCTTTGTGAGCTAAATTGAAGCATGTTAGGAGCTGAACTGGACTCTGACCCAAAAATAAAAGTTGTTCCTCTCATCAAATACTACAACTTTTCTTTAGTGAACACATCCATGCAAAGTCTCTGTGACATAGTTCAAACTAGGTCAAACATACTACATTTAAATGATGACTTACACTTAAACTATGACTTAGCGACCAAATTAGCCCTAGCCACGTATACCAAAGTTGTTCATAATGAAACTCTAAACATGTTTAATGTATTCCTAAGGTCACACAAGCACTTTATACATTGGGTACATATTTTTCTTTCTAGGTCAACATGCATATCGTCACTTAGGAGCTTAATTATGCAAAGTGATCTACAGGAACAATGTTCCATTAGCCATCCTAAGCCTAGCTAAGGTGTTTTAGTGACTAACATGACCCACTTGCACTCATTCATACATGATCATAAGTATACACAAAGAAAACATGAAATAACAAAGCATGTTTCATATGTTTCAATCATATGTTTCCTATATAAAAGCTTATATATGAATGCCTCATGCTCATGCTCTGCAAGTCAAATTATGCAAGCCTAACACCTAGGATGTTACATTGTCTTAGGCCAAATAATTTTTTCTTACAGCCACCCAAGTATGCTTGTAGTTGCACAGACAGTAAGGGGTACAAAACAAGCTTTGACGTTATTCTTCAGTAAAAGAGTCAAAATGGATGAAAACCAACTTAATCATCCAGCACGTAAGCCCTATTTCTGAAATAGGGCAGCAAGCTCCCCTTTTTCAGCCATGGATGAAATAATATCACAGCCTCCCACGAGCTCCCCTCCAATGAAAATCTGAGGGAACGTCGGCCAGTTGCTGTATGTCTTCAGGGTCTCCCTTAGCCCATGGTTGTGCTCCTCATCAAGCACATCAACAGTAACGAAATCCGCTCCATGTGCTTCCAAGATACCCACCACCCTTTGTGAGAATCCGCACTGGGGAGCACTCCTTGATCCTTTGATGAAGGCTACCACTCTGTTCTCTTTCACCAACCGGTCTATCAACTGTTCTAGTGGAACAGTCAGCTGGACATGGCGTCCAGGCGTCAACCGCAAGTCTGGAGGCCTCTGGGGGGCACCAACCCAGGTGTAGTTTCCTGCAACATTCCCTGGTGGCGCCTTGCCAGTGGCCTCTATATGTTCTTCCATCCATGATTTCCAGGCATTATTAAGGGCAGCTCGATCTGGTGTCTCCTCGTCTGATACTGCGACCTGCACACGTCATAATGTCAGTGCAATCAGATATTCAAGTACTAATAAACATGCAAAAGGTAGAAATTATTTTTTTCCTTTTGACAGATTTAGTTTGTGCAGAAGAATATTGTACCAGTAAATACAAAAGTAATGAAGCAAAAGAGGAGTTAAGGCAGCAGGTGTGTCGAAGTCTTTAAGGCCCCAGGAGAACCAGGGCAATATTCAGAAAGGCTGTTATAACAACTTCAATTCACAGAACTGACTAAAACGGGACACAGGATGGGGTACAACAACCACTAGCTAAAACTTTGACCTGAATTTATGTTATTTCAGCAGATCCTTTGGCATTAAAATATCATATGAAGACATATCCAGATTCATGATCTTGCATGAGCAGGCCCCATAGTTGCTAACATGGTATAGAAGCAATAAGGAATTTAAACTCCACAAAGCGCTATAAAGAAGGGGCTTGTGAATAATGTAATATCATACCTACTGGCTACCGTCCTAATAAAAGCTAATCAGTTACAGAGGTTAGAATGAAAAATACAATGCTAAATACTAAATCAGCTACCAATATGCACATATTGTTTTGCAGACAGTACTTTGAACGTCATGTTCTGTCAACTAGAACAAGGCTCATGGATCACTGAAAGAAGAATACATTACTGGGTTCCATCTTACTGCAGATGGGCGAGAATGAAGTAGGTAAGCATATTTTCTTTCGGTGAGAAAGAAAGTAAGTGAGCATACCGAATGAGAAATGCAAACTCCAACATCAAGCAAAGTATAGACCGACTGATACTAGCTAGAGATGTTTATACAATGGCCAATCAATGAGAATATTGTTGATTGGGGGAATGGAGAAGGTAAGCATATCGACTATTCGAAGCTACAAAAACTGGTGCCCTTTTGTCCCTCCTATCGGCCACCAACAAAAGTGAGAAACAACAGACACTTAAACCATTTCTTCCTCAGTGGCGCAAATTAACATGTATCAGTTTGCCCCAATTAACGATCCCCGATACCCAAGCTCAAAGGCAACTGCTGGTTTAGTCCCAAAGCGAGGCTAAAGTAATGTAACTGTGAGCATAAATACATAGGAGCATATACTGTAAAGTGTAATAATATGATGATACATGCTTAGACAGCTTAGTCGATGCCGTACCTTGACGGAGGCGCAGAGGTTGGCGGGGACCTTCCGGCGGTGGCCCTCGACGCTGGCCCTGACGTTACGCGAAATTCCGACGAACTGCAGCTCCCCGGCGGGGTCGTAGACGCCGTAGACCCCGGGCTTGGAGGGCAGCGTGTCCTCGTCGACCAGGGGCTGGGTGGGCTCCTGAGGGATGGGCACGGGGGACGCCTCGGAGAGCTTCTTGAAGGCGGCGGCGACGGCGAGAGAGCGGGAGGCACGGCTGCGGCGGTGAGGGAAACGAAGGGTATTGGAGGACGACGATGAGGAGGCTGATGCGGAGAGGAGAAGGAAGGCGAGGCGGGGAGAAGCAGCGGCGGTGGCGGTGGAAGCCATGGCCATGGGGATGCTTCGACGGTGGGGCGTCTGCTCTGCTTTTGCGTCGGCGGCGAGTGGTGGTGGTGTTTCTGTCAGTCGGATCGGATATGAGCTTCGTTTTGGCCCATAACAAGAGGCCCGTTTCTGCTGTCTGCTGGTTACAGGCAGGCCCAGGCCGACCTGCTGGCCTGCTAGACCCATCTGCAAATACAGTCTTTTGTGGCCTGTTCTGAACTTTTGTTATTTTATTTATTTTTCTTCCGGTTCTCAATCGACATGGTGCAGCAATAGAGAGTTAGGAATACTGTTTCTGCTCAGAATTACAAGATGTTCTGTGTAATTCGTGCTCAGAATTACAAGATCCATGCTTCAAAAACAAGCTAATGGTTGACTAAGGAGAGTAATTTCCATCCCTTTCTTTCTAAGTGAAGGTCAATGCTCTCAAAGATTTAGGATCTGTTACGATGGAAGCTTGGCATGCATTGTCTGACCAGGCAACATAGGCGTCCAAAATCATATGACTGGGGTGCCACTGTTTGCCTAGGCAGACTTTTACGGTATCCATCCAAACCGACCCTTAGGGTAGGTTTGCTAAATTCCTTAATGTATTTTGTTGGCTTTAATAAGCAAAGATGTTGTCCGATGTACCATTCTTGAAAGGACACACATATATGAACATTCTTTGTTAAACATCGCAGTTTATGAGACTTGGTTGGCCTACGGTAAGCTTATGAAGAGACCAAAAAATAGTGCATATATGTTCCGCCCACGGGGGTAGGCTATTGTTAGCTAGTTATGACTTTCACTAAAACTCATTCACTCAAATTTTGCACTTCAAGGCATAGTCAAGTTGTGTATCATTGGTGTAAATTGAAACTCTAGCGGAAGTATAACTTAACTATCTCTGCCACAAAATGTCGATACATAAACAGTAGCAGGAGAAGAAAATTTTTTAAATTGAGTATTTAAGATCTAGTTGGGGATTGCTAGAATCTATATGGGATAGATCATTAAACTCATATAGATGGAAGTGTTTAAGCCCAATCACCAGTTCTAATATAGTGGTCATTAAACACTAAAGCCCATTATAGAACTGGTGATTGAGCATTTAAGTTGTGTAATGGGCTTTAGTGTTTAAGCCCACACGTGTTAGTGAAAGGTGAAACATCAATTAGTACCATACTGCTAGTTGATGTGGAGGTAGGGAGTTCTCCTCCCAATATATGCGCACCAATCCCTCCTAGGAAAGGTGCACCAGAAATTACTATACTAGGAGCCCCTAGGTTTTGGGAATCCCTATGATAGTAAGTTGGACTTATTCGTCTTCTCTCTACTGCATGGCTAGCGTGCACTGGTGATTGGAGGAGCAGGTCTTTGCAACCTCTCGCATCGCTGGTGACATCAGCATTCATCCGGCTCAAGGTATAAAATTCTAAACATTTATTATGGTTTATTTTATTCATTCAAGTTAGAGATGGCAACAGGGCCCCACCCCCGATTCCCCATGGGGAATTCACCTATTAGGGGGTGGGGATTGACTTGGTAGGAATTTGATCCCTGTCGAGGATGACGTAGACGGGGATGGTTCCCTGGTCCCTGTCCCCGATCCTCGGTTCCCGACCCGCTACGATGTGTACGAGAGTGGAGAGGTGAACCAGAGAGCAGAGCACAAGACGGGAATAGCTCTAGGACCATCTAAAGGCCCATTATCTGTTGTTGAGTATATATACCACTGCTAACCCTAAATCTAGGTGGCCAACTCTTCAGTACACACCAATCGCCGCCCACCAGAGCTCTAGAGCACCATGCCACCAGCACTACGTCACCGGAGGAACATTAGTAGTTCTAAGAAATTGTCAATGAAATATTTGCTTCTTGTGTCATGTACTCGTGCTACCTTTGCTCTAATAGTTTTACTACGGGGACGGGGATCCCCGAAGGGATTAATTACCAGTCGAGTAACAGGGATGGGAATTCCCTGTTGCCATCTCTAATTCTAGTGCTATTTTATGTTTTGTGTATTGCAAGAAAACAAACCAACTGACACATGTCAATGCAAAAAAAAGATATGTGGTGTCTTCTTGGAGGACCCATCTTATGAGGTATTTGACTATTTTTTATATGTTCCCTTATATATTTGCTCCTTTATTTTCTAGAGTTGACCTCCCTTCATTCCCAATCTACTAAGTCATCAAGCTCCACCATTATGTCCACAAATGCTACGGCCACCAAAACACCATCGTGGTTGCATCGATTGCATGTGAAAAAAGGAATATCTATGCCATCCAACCTACAAATTGATAATCTCATCTATGGAGATGGATCCCAACCGTCACTATGCTTTCCTGTACCAACTTCTTCCTCTTGTCATCATAAAAACCCTCTTGACATTGCCAAAAACCAAGTTCAGAAGGCTACTAAGCTCAAAAGGTGCAAACCACCTCGCAATCCAACAAGACAGAGCCCAAGATTTAACAGACCTCACCTATCGCAACCAAAACCACAGCCACAACCCACCACCATGGTTTCTAATGTTTCAAGGATCCCCTCCTTTGATCCAATAGATACATTGTCCCTTAATAAGGCTTTTCGCAAGAAAAAGCAATCGACCAGCAACACATTGTGCAATGTTTACTACACCATCATGGACGCCAGTATTGATAAATGCAAGGCTACCAAAAAATCAATCTGTAGCGATGACTTTGGGAAGGCCTCTAGCAAAAATCATGAGGAGACCTTTGAACAACATGATTCCATCGTAAAGGGAAAGCGAAGGTTTAGTCTCCTCTCCAAGATGCAAGAAAACTATGAGAAGAAGGAGAAAGAGGCCACCTTACAGGTAACTATTCTTTATGCCTTCTAGTACTTTTATTACTTATAAACTTTTTTCCTTGTATCAATAAAACTAGAATTGGGTTGTTTGAATTGTTGGTGTGCACACAGATTGAAAATGCATTCTGGCATATAGTATAATGCTATGTTGGGAATGACATAATTAGTTAAGGATGTCAACATTATATTTTTATTCTAGGTTCATAAAATTTTTCCTATGTGCAGTGAAATGATAGTGTTGATTTAATTGCTCAACATATTTATTATGCATGTAACATTGAGTGGTGAATTTAGTATGCTCAAGCTCAAATACATGTACCTATGTGCCTATGTATGTTCGATTATGCATATTTAAGGTTACACATGCCTTAAGGTCCATAAATGTAAAAGTATGTGGGTAGACAATGCTACCCAATTCTAGGATAATTTAATTATTTTATTGATTACTTTTTTGTGTGAAGGAAAAGAGCATTAAAGTCAAGAACAATTATAAAATTGAGTGTATGACAAGTGCAGCCAAGAATAGGTGTCGAAGCATTGATATCACTGTCATTGACACTAGTATTGATGGATGGAAAGCCACCAAAAAACTCACCTATAGGGGAGATTTTTGGGAGGTTGCTAACGAAAAATCGATGCTGGCCTGTCTGAACAAGAGGATGCCTATGAGAAGGAGAAAATGACTGCTTCACAGGTGACTACCCTTTATGCCATTTGGTACTTTTACAAACTTAACTAGATTCTCCTTATATGGAGTAAACTATGATTCAACTATTTGATTAGTTGGTATGTAAAAAATTTGTAATTTTACATGAAAATCGAGCATATGTTTGTGTTGGGAATGATTATCAATAGGTAAGGGTGATAATACTATTTGTTTCTCTTACTTTCACCAAATTCTTCCTATGTGCATTAAAATATCAATGTTGATCTTTTTTTTTTAAAAAATTATGTCCTAGATGATTTCATTAAATTTAGTGATTAGCTACTATACTTTAGCCCAATAGAATGCATCCATGTGCCCATGCAGGTCTAATTATGCATATTGAGGTTACACACGTGCCCATGGACAATAGTGAAGTGGAATATGAAAGTGTGGGTGTATATAAAACAATCATTTCTAGCATAATTTATTTATTATGCTATCTTTTTCTAGGAAACAAATGTTACTATGTATGTTGTCGTTTTATATCATAACTCATTTCCATGCATCAATGGTGATAATTGTATTGTATGTCTGTTTGTCAAAGGAAACATTGTTCTTTGAAGTACATTGCTTAGGTAGTGGAAGAGAAAAGTAAAAATGAATGTGTTTTGGTTGTAGTTAGGATATCAATGTAAAAAAACTTTGACATAGGATTTATGTACTATCTATGATGACTAAATGGATTTTCTTATATAGGTATATAAATCACCTTATGAACAAGGTCAGCGGTTGCTTCTATTGTTATATCAAACAATAGATGCCATATATAAGTTATTTGTTTAGTGTTAAACATAAATATTTGCTGAACACCCAAAAACTAATCTTAAGCTCATTCTTATTGTTGTGTTGTGTGACTAAGAAGAAATGTGTGGGATATCTCAAACTATAGATAAAAAGGAATCTACCTTCATATATATTTTCTCTAATTTGCACGTAGTTTAGTAATGTTGTGGAGTTTATGTAGTGTGTTTAGGTCCTTGGAATTAATTGTATCCAAACATGTCTATTTAGTCTAATGCTTTTGTATTACTATATGTTAGATACATAAGGAAGCACACCCATGTGCACTCCTCGCAATCCATCTTCGATGCGAAACTCATTCATTGACACTTAAGCGACTAGCTAATAAACCCACAATTTGTCACTGAGTTTTCTAAGCCTATTGAAGTAGCATTTTGATTCATTGTATTACAAATATGGAAGTTTCTGATAACTTTTCTAGTTGTTCATTTACTTTGTCTTGATAATTGACTTCCTTGTGAGAAAAATGCATATAGTGTTAATAATTATTTGCACTGAGGATATTGTTCTATTCAACTATAAGTTTTGTACCTTTTGCGTGATGGAATAATATATATTAAGAGTTATTGAGAGTCAATTAACAAACATATAATAATATAAAGTAGACAACCTCAGCACTACATACATTAAGGATTTACCTAATTATTTTTACTACAGGGAATCATGCTTTCTAGTGGTGAAGGTGTCACTGAAATATTGGGTGATCAAATTCAAACTCAAAAAGGTAATTCTATGGGTTCACCACTTGCATTAGAGTGCTCTAGTGTTGAGGCCAAAAATACAATAAGTGATGCATATTCTTGATATGATAAAGATATTTTCTTTTACATAAATATTGCAGGACTAGATGCTCTCAACCAATACCACAAGACAATGGTGACACCACTGTTCACATACAAACCATAAGAAGGAAAAAGATCTCAGACATCATATATAACACCGGTTTAAAGGGGGGAATTAAGCAAATGATTATGCATGAAAAAAACATTATCATTTTATTGTTATCGGTGAATTACGTTAACTCAATCACAGTCAGTTTGTTGTATCCTTTCTATTCTCTGAAGTTGTCATTAAACCCATATAAATATTTTAATTCTTGTGGTTCCTGGCAATTGATAGTGGAATAATGCTTTATTAGAAAATAAAGCTATTGCAAGTAGATGAAGCATTTTATTGTCTTGTTGGATTTAGCATATATTGCTATGCTTTGTTCCAGATGAAAAAAATAAGACAGCAGGACCTGATAGCATACCAATTGAATTCTACCAATCATGCTAGAACATTATCAAAGATGACATTGTCCAATTGTTGGTCTGTTAAACTCTGTTGAGCGTGGTGTAGCTCAATTCCTTTGGTTATTTGGTAACTTGTTTCTAGCCCCTGTTGGTTGCTTTTGCCTTCAGATTTGTTGAAATTGAAAGAACCATGCAGCGAGGAGTTCATCTGAAGAAGTCTCGCCTCGATGTAATGCAGAATGGATGAGCCATAGCTGTTGACTTTTACTGCGAATGCAAGAAAGTCTGCCCGATGTGTATTTGATCTCGTAGGACATTATAAAGTGTCGTAGCAATTATTCTGCCCCTCGACTGCTGTGATTGCTTGGATTAGAGTGAAATAAATATATAGAAAGACCTATCACAACCGCACCAGACATTCAAGTGTCAAGCGTGTCATTGTGGTCAAAAGCTCTTTTTCTCGATTCATTTCTTATATCCAGCTTCCCTGTCGCATTCGCTTTACTCTCGTCCGCCATGCAAGGTCTATATCAAAGGAGCGTCCCCCCTTCTCCTCCAAGAGTGTAGACGATCAAACATAGCCGAGGGAGTGCAGACGATCAGAACCTATGCAAGAAGAGATGTAGTCACTTGAGAAAAATGGCACATGGGATGTTGTGCGCTTGTCTAAACACAAGAAGGCCGTTTGTTGTAAATGGGTCTTCAAAAGAAAGGAGGGTTTGTCTCCTAGTGAGCCTCCAAGATTTAAGGCAAGGTTAGTAGCAAAAGGTTTCAGTCATATTCCCAGCGTTGATTATAATGATGTGTTCTCTCCTGTTGTAAAACATAGTTCAATTCGTATATTTTTCAGTATTATTGCTTTGCGAGATCTTGAGCTGGAGCAGTTAGATGTAAAGACTACGTTTCTACATGAAGAGCTCGAGGAGGAGATATACATGGACCAGCCAGAAGGGTTCATAGTACCTGGTAAGGAGGATCATGTTTACAAATTAAAGAGGTCCTTATATGGTTTGAAACAGTCTCCTCGTCAATATTATAAAAGGTTTGATTCTTTTATGATGTCACATGGTTTTAAGAGGTCTGAATTTGATAGTTGTGTATACATTAAATTTGTTGATGGATCACCTATATATTTGCTATTATATGTTGATGATATGTTGATTGCTGCCAAGAGTAAGAAAGAAATCACTACGTTGAAAAAACTGTTGAGTAGTGAGTTTGAGATGAAGGATCTTGGTGCTGCTAAGAAGATTCTAGGTATGGAAATTACAAGAGACATAAATTCTGGTTTGTTATTTCTTAGTCAGCAAAGTTACATTAAGAAAGTTCTTCATCGTTTCGACATGCATGATGCAAAGTCTGTTAGTACTCCTATTGCTCCTCATTTCAAATTATCAGCTTTATAATGTGCTAGTATGGATGAGGATTTTGAGTACATGTTAAGAGTTCTATATTCTAGTGCTGTTGGTTCTTTGATGTATGCCATGGTTTGCTCTCGTCTTGATTTATCATATGCTATGAGTTTGATTAGTAGATACATGACTAATCCTGGTAAAGAATATTGGAAGGCTGTTCAGTGGATTTTCAGGTACCTTCGTGGCACAACAAATGCTTGTTTGAAGTTTGGCAGGACCGATAAGGGACTCACTGACTACGTGGATTCAAATTTTGCTGCTGATTTGGATAAGAGGAGATCTCTCACAGGTTATGTGTTCACTATTGGTGGTTGCGCTGTGAGTTGGAGGGCAACATTGCAGCCCGTTGTTGCCCTGTCTACCACTGAAGCAGAATACATGGCTATTGCTGAAACATGTAAAGAATCAGTTTGGTTGAAAGGTTTGTTTGCTGAACTTTGTGGAGATGATTCTTGCATTAATTTATTTTGTGGCAGTCAAAGTGCTATATGTCTCACTAAAGATCAGATGTTCCATGAGAGAACGAAGCACATTGATGTCAAATACCATTATGTTCGTGATGTGATCACGCAAGGTAAGTTGAAGGTATGCAAGATAAGCACACATGATAATCCTGCTGATATGTTGACAAAGCCGGTTCCTGTTGCTAAGTTTGAGCTTTGTTCAAGCTTAGTTGGTATAACTGTTTAGCCCAAGAGGCTATTTGGCATCGAAAATATTTCTTTATTGTTTCAGGGTGAATGTTTATTTTATGCTATAAGAATGAATTTGTCTCAAGGTGGAGTTTGTTGAGCTATGATCCAAATTCAAGCTTGGGCCGAAGCGAAGCGGCCCATTAGCGTCAAGAGGGACTACAGCATCTATTAGTTTCGTATTGCTAATAGACGAGGGTGTGGGGTTTTTCTTCTCTATATATATTTCGTGTAAGCCATCGTCTTAGGATAAGAAAAGTTGTAAATTCCCGATGTTTGTAATCTCACCCGATATAGTGAAGATTTGCTGGATGGTGCCTGTGGTTTTTTTCCTTCCACCTTGGGAGGGTTTTCCACATTAAAATCTTGTGTCCCCCGTGCTTGATCTACTGTTCTTCATCGTTTATATTGCCTATCGTTTATAACACCATGTTCCATGGGTGGCTCAACCAGCACATCCCATCCTATATTATGCCCAAACTAATAAGCACTTGTTCCTCGATACGAAAATCTGATAATTTATAATTTAAAACATGACTAATAGTTATTAGAAGTACAATGTGGCGCCCAACAAATATATGAAATATATTTAAAATTAAACATGACAGCTCGCTCGCTTGATTATTTTTGCAAGCAGTGATAATGATAATGATAGCGGCAACGCCGGATGAGGAAGCCGGCCGGAGAAGCGACAGCATGCCATTGCCATGCATGCAAGCTATGATCTATCCCTCGATGGCAACGCCAGCGCGCCGCGCCGCCGCGCTTCCACCTAACTGATGGTCCTCGGCTTCTTGCTTGCCTCCTCTGCTGCGATGGTGGTTGGGACATGCT